CAATGGGAGTAGCTTCCCTTCCAACCTTCCCTTAGCTCCTTGCTTCCACTATAGAGCCTCTCGGCTCCCTTCCTATCTCATTCTTTTCTCTCCAAACTTGACTTCCTTCAGAAACGAAAGGAACAAAGGAAGGGGAAGGAAGGGAGGGGGAAGGAAAGGAGGGGAAGGAAGACAGGGGGAAGGAGCTTGCTTCGACTAAGGGAAAAGGAGTTGCTGCCAGTGCTGCGGCTTCCTGGGGAGGGATACAGACAGGGTGAGGGACATGGGACGGGGGTAAAACGCGCGTGCAAGCGAGTGATGAGGAGGTCCTGCTCACCACTTCCTTTGCAGCCACTGATTGCTGCTCCGACGAGCCTGCACTCTCCCCAGAATCCTCACCACCACCGCCGCCCCTCTCCCCATCATCTCCGCCACTACTGTCGCCGCCAGCACCACCAGCACCACCATCTGCAGCAGCATCAGCACCCCCAGCCCCTCCGTCCTCCTCCCCTCCCCCTCCTCCACTGCCGTGCGCGCCCTCCTCCTCCTCTTCCTTCGCCTCCTTCTCATCCTCCGCCTTCTCCTCCTCTTCCTCATCATGGCGTTTCGTCCCACTGTTCTCACCGTCCGCCTTCTCCCCTTCCTTTCCACCCTCCTCCTCGTCATCCTCCTCGTCCTCCTCCTCACCGTCGCTCTTCTCCTCACCCTCGCCCTTCTTCTGGCCTCCTCCCTCTCCCGCTTCACTGTTCTCCGCACCCTCGTTCTTGCCCCCTCCTTCCTTCTCCCCCTTCTCCTCCGTTTCCTCCTTTTCCTCATCCTTCTCATCGTCCTTCTCATCGTCCTTCTCATCGTCCTTCTCATCGTCCTTCTCATCCTCCCCACCTGCCTTCCCCTTCTTCCCACCCTCCTCCTCTCCCTCCTCCTTATCATCATCCGCACCCTCCTCATCCCCATCCTTCCCATCCCCATCCCCGTCCTCCTTCGCTTGCTCTACACTCCCCTTCTCCTCAACCCTCTTTTCTTTTTCTTCCCCCTGCCTGCCACCGTCCACCCCCCCAACCCCATGCACATCCCCACTATGCGGCTCCGTTTCGGGATATTTCTGCTCATCTTTTTTAAAAGATGCCTGCTGCTCCCCACCGTGCCCTGCTTCTCTCCCTATCTCCCCACCCACAGCGCCGGCAGCACCAGCAGCAGCAGCAGCACCTCCTTCAGCAGCAGCAGCAGTGGCGCCAGCGCCACCAGCAGCATCACCAGCGTGACTGCTGGCTGTTTGTTCACGCTTCAGCCGGTACGGGAACGGCTGCAGGCACGGACGCAGACACAGACACGGGCACAGACACAGGAGGGAAAGAGCAGCAAGCGGGTCTTTAAGTAGATTAAAAAAGGGCTGCAGTGGCGCCAGCGTGACCGCTGGCTGTTTGACGCTGATACTGGAATGGCTGCAGCAGGCACAGACGCTACGCCCACAGGAAGGAGAAGAGCAGCAGGCCCGTCTTTGAGTCCACTCAAAAAGATCGGAAGCCCGGATGTGTGCAGCAGGGAGCCAAGGCAAAGCGCACAGGAGACACGAACAGACGGATGCAACTGGCAAGGCTGCTCCTCCCCCCCTTTCCCAGCAACGTGGCGTAAAAGTCGTGGGGTGCTTTGCTGTGCCCCGCTGTGCCCCGCTGTGCTTCGCTGAGTTTCACTGTGCCCCGTGTCCTGGCCTCACCCAGTGACTGACTTGCTTTCCTTGCCTAAGTTCTCTATATGGCGGCTAACCTGCCTGTTGCACGCTGCGCCACTGCACCTGCTGCTGACTGTCCCACGTCACCTGCTGCTGGCTCCCCTGCTGCTGCGATGCAGTGAGAGAATGGCGCCCCTGACTGGCCAGCGGCCAGCGGCCAGCACCTACAACCTCACCTTGCCTGCCACACAAGACATGTCCTCACATGCTGGAAGCCCTCCTGCTGTGCCGATGCAGTGAGGGCGTGGTCCCCCTGACTCGCCAGCTCCAGCAGCCTCGCCTGCTCCCCCTGGCTTGCTGTGGCTGGAGGTGGTGGTGGAGGGAGACAACAGGACGAGTAGATCCAGATTGGCAAACTTGGAGGAAACTCAGCCCAACAGCTGCGGACTCTAACGCATGGTCCCAGAATCCCCCTCACTGGACCCCCCGTCTCCTTGCCCATCTCCCCTCCCTCTGTGCACTTACTGTGAGTGCTCTGCTGAGCGGCAGGCTGAGCTGTGGCCTGTGACGCGGGGTCGGCCTGTGCATGTGCCACCTGGGAAACGGTTGCGTGCAGGAATACACACGAGGGAACGAGAAACAAACTGACTGCTTTGCTGAACGACTGGCCGAGCTCTTGCCTGTGCCGCGGGCTCCGTCTGTGCATGTGCCACGCCACCTGACTGACCTACAGTTGCGTGCAGGCATTGAACGATAAACGAAATGAGTGCTCTGCTCAACGACGGGCTGAGCTGTCTCCTGTGATGCAGACTTGATCTCTGTGTGTGCCACCTGATGAACAGTTGCGCACAAGAAGATGCGTGCACCAGCACGACAGGAACTGAGAGGGCATGGCATGGTCTTTTGAGGCGCCTCAAAACTGAGAGGGCATGGCATGGTCTTTTGAGGCGCCTCAGAACTGAGAGGGCATGGCATGGTCAGGCTTGGCACGCAAAGATGAGCCGGACACCGGACGTGGCATGCTACTGCGGATTCGACACATAAGATACGCCATATCAGCTGATACGTAAGGTTGCTTCAACATCAACGCCCCGCACAGGTGGCTCTTAGAACACAAAACGCATGCGTCTGTAATAGAGCTGCGAGCTACGCTCATATTAGCCCCCGCCAGCCGAGCAAGCCACGACGCGGGCAGAAACAAGGGCGCATGCATCCAAGCGTGAGGAGTCTATTTTTTAGGCGCCTCAAAAATAGACAAGGGCGCATACATCCAAGCGTGAGGAGTCTATTTTTTAGGCGCCTCAAAAATAGACAAGGGCGCATACATCCAAGCGTGAGGAGTCTATTTTTTAGGCGCCTCAAAAATAGACAAGGGCGCATACATCCAAGCGTGAGGAGTCTATTTTTTAGGCGCCTCAAAAATAGACAAGGGCGCATACATCCAAGCGTGAGGAGTCTATTTTTTAGGCGCCTCAAAAATAGACAAGGGCGCATACATCCAAGCGTGAGGAGTCTATTTTTTAGGCGCCTCAAAAATAGACAAGGGCGCATACATCCAAGCGTGAGGAGTCTATTTTTTAGGCGCCTCAAAAATAGACAAGGGCGCATACATCCAAGCGTGAGGAGTCTATTTTTTAGGCGCCTCAAAAATAGACAAGGGCGCATACATCCAAGCGTGAGGAGTCTATTTTTTAGGCGCCTCAAAAATAAAGAGCGCATACATCCAAGCGTGAGGAGTCTATTTTTTAGGCGCCTCAAAAATAGACAAGGGCGCATACATCCAAGCGTGAGGAATCTATTTTTTAGGCGCCTCAAAAATAGACAAGGGCGCATACATCCAAGGAACATTCGCCATGATTCCAAGCGATTCCACCTACGTTTTCTGTCGCTGAAACTGCTGGACCAACCGTTCCGCCCTCCGCCATGTTCGATCCGCCTGCATTTGCGCAGAGCGAAGGAGAAGGAGGCGAACAAGCGTCAGGGTGGAGGCATGGCATGATGCACGGCTCCGACAGGGACAAGGGGAGACGTGACAGCAAGGGATAAAAGGAGAATTCTGCGACGAGGGGAGAACGCCACGTGGCTCGCTCTCGCGGTCCTGAAGTTACAGTATCCAGCCTGCCAGCTGGCATTGCCGAGCCACATCACCTTCTCGTCAGGGACGGACACCCGCATTGCTCTGGACGAACAGGGCCCGCATGACGCATTGTGCGTGTGGCGGCGATCACGAGTGGGGCTTCCCGGCACGGGGCACGAGGATACAATCCCGCTGATAGCTTCACGGCAAGAAGGCTCACTCTGATTGGTCGGACGGGACGGTCTCGCGAGCATGACGATGAGAATGACGACTGCGACGGTGAGCATGGCGACCTGTGCGACGACCTGTCTTTGAGGGCCCTCAAGCACTTACTGTCATCAGTCGGACGGCCCTCAATCACTTACTCTCAACAGTCCCACTTACTCTCAACGGTCGGACGGGACGGTCTGGCGAGCATGACGATAAGAATGACCGCTGCGACGGTGAACATGGCGACCTGTGCGACGAACTGTCGCCGCTTCTGCGCCGCCGATCGCGGAGCGAAGATGGAGTCCGACTTGCGCTTCGCCTCGTCGTGGTCCGACCCGTCAGGCGACTGCCTTCCGCCCGTCGCATGCATTCGTCGCACGTCCATCGCTGCGACTTTGCGACACTTGCAACGAAACGGTTAAGAGAAACGCAACGTTTTAGTGTATAGGTTTCTTCGCCCTTCACCGCATCGTCGGCGGCGAATGGCGGACACGCGGAAATGACAACGCGGAAGCCTCGAGAAGGGGGTCAGGAAGGAAGATAGAGGAGAGGAATGAGAACCTGGGAGAAAGGAGACAGGTGTAAGGAATGAACCTTGGGAGTTGGACTTCCGTGTGAGACGAGGGAATCTGGAATCTGGAAAATGGCGGGGTGGAGGGAAAAGCAGACTGGCAGGAGGGACGAGGGCCTATTCTTCACCTCATGTCAGATGGGAAATCAGGCCCTGTCTCGAGAGAGATTTCCACGCGTGGGGTAAATCTGATGGTCCGAGTCAGATTACCCCAGCAAATTCGACACGGATCCGGCTGCGGAATGGGCCCCAGAAATTCTCCAACTGGTCGCGATTTGCCCAACTTTGTTCACCAATTGGTTTCGCTTCGGTTTATCTGAAGAGTTGTAACTCGTTCCTCCGGGCCTTTCGCTGGAATTCGCGAAATAAGCCGAGAATACAAGGTCGGGTTATGGGCTGTAACACTATGTCTATCTACAGCCCAAAAAATTCGAACTCCACGTGCATCCTCCAGACTGCCTACCTATTTAGACACCAGCAACCAAACATTCCTGATTCATTATTAGGTCTAGAGTTCAGTCTCTGCCTTCACAGACTGTGGCCCAGGCCGCGTCTCGCGCTGGTTTCCCCAGGGTGGTTTAGGAACACAGGGAAATCATTTGCCGCCGGCGTTGCCATTTTCGTTGCTTTAGAACTTCACTGAAAGAGACGCCTGCCAGCATGAGTCAAGAGGAGCAAAATGCCGGCGAGGAGTCCGTTTCTGCAGTGTACATGCGGGTACGCAATCGCCGGCGTGGATTCTGTGCTTCGAGGCGAGGTCTCGCGTCGTCTAGGAATAGCGAGAGGGGGCGATGTGCATAGCCTCCTCTGTCATGGACGTGTATGCGATGTGCGTAGCCGCATGTCATGGACGTGTATTGCTCGCCCGTTCATGAATCTGGTGCTGCCTTGTTGTAGAATAGATCGCGCGCTTCCATAGAGCGTACGCATCCCGTTTCCGTGCAGTGCCCTTCACAGTCTCTCGCGTGCGCACCCCTTTCAGCCACTTACTCGAGCCGCGTACAATCTTCATAGCCCGCTGGGATACTCGAGAGGAATGAAGGCCTCTTTGCTTCGCCTTTTCCGAGTTATCGCAGAGACTCGTGTGTGACAGCTACAGAGTGGAACTCGGGAGTCGATCCGAAAGTCCCGCGTAGGTGCACCCGGTTCCTTTTGCAAAGGCTCATGCAGCCCGTTTTGATTTGATTCTATCAGCACCGGCTTCTTCCCCCCCACCCACACCCCCCCTCCCCCATCCCCCAGTTTATTATCAGAAGGAAGAGGAGTGGAATCCCATGGCGAAGAGGACGAACAGGGAGCGGGAGTACCTGGCTCACACCTGCAAGAGGAAGAGCTGAGTTGGGGGATGCTCATTTTCCATCTGTCACCTGCCACCTGTCACCTGCCACCTGTCCGGCTGACCTTGTTCGCATGAGCAGGAGCGGCAGGAGCGGATGCTGCTGATGCAGCGGAATGACAGGGAGTGGAAGGAGCTTTAGACTGACCAAGTAAAATGCGTTGATTTATCCCCTGTCACCACCAGGAGCACCAGGCGCGGGTGCTGATGAGAGGGGAAACGGCGATTCACCCCCCTTCACCAGGAGCTTTAGCCGTTGGATTGAAGAATGAAAGGTCGGAATGGGCCCCCTTCATCATCAGGAGCGCAGGGGGGGGAGCTGATGGGGAAGTGGTAGAACATGGAGCAGGAGGTGATGGGGAAGCGGAAGAGCATGGAGCGGGAGGAGCTTTGGACCGAGTCTAAGGCCTTTTCCCCCTTGAAATGAGCAGGAGCGGCAGGAGGGGAGGGGATGCTGATGATGAATTGAAGAAGCCTAGAGCGGGAGTAGCTTTGGATTGACTAAAACACATGCATGGTAATTTACCCCTTTGAAATGAGCAGGAGCGGCAGGAGCGGAAGCTGATGATGAAGCGGAAGAACCTAGAGCGGGAAGAGAAGGAGGGGCGCCCAGGAGCGAGGCAGAAGCTGCGAGGGGCAGACGGCGCTGCTGGTGGCGCTGGTGGTGGTAATGGGTATCAGGGGAATGGCGGTGGGTCGGAGTACCGAGCCTCCGGGGGTCAAAGAAGGCCTTCCTGTGGGCCTCTGCCCGATGGTACGTGGAGAGAAGTGGAGGAAGAATGCACGGATGGATGGAGGGAAGCCATGATGGGAGGCCAGATGGTGGTGACGTGAAGCCAAGCAAGCTTTTGAGTCGACTCAAAAGCAGATGGTGGTGACGTGAAGCCAAGCAAGCCACGCCCCTCCTTCCCCATCGGCCTCATTCTTCCTGCAAAGGCTTCGCTTGGGGAGGCAACGTTGAGCCGTGCAAGGGGCGACTGCCCTGCCCTGCAAGGGGCGAGGGAAGGGCCCTCACATATTCTCCTCGCCTCGCCTCCTTCCGCCTTCTCTGCGTTCCAGGCTGGGTCGAATGCCGTGCCCTGCAACGGGCGAGCCCAGGTGGTGAAGGCGCCTCACATATCCGTGTCACCTGCTAGCCCCCCCTTCCGTGTCACCTGCTGGCCCACCCCTTCCGTGTGCCAGGCTGGATCAACTGCCCTGCGATGGGTGAGCCCATCGGCCTGCTCATCCCCGCCAAGGCGCCACTATGGTAGGTGACGAGGCGTTCAGGGAGCTGGTGACGGCGCCTCACGTATCTGTGTCACCTGCTCTGCTCCCCCCTTCCCCGAATCCCCGTGCCAGGCTGGATCGACTGCCCTGCCATGGGTGAGGCCATCGGCCTGCTCATCCCTGCCAAGGCGCCCCTGGGCGAGGCGTTCAGAGAGCTGGTGGAGCCGGGCAAGCGGTGGAACGCTGACGTGGCACTCAAGCAGACGAGGAGCATGAAGAAAGACGTAGGTGGCGGGGATGATGATGTGAAGGCAAGGGAGAGGTGCACCGTGCATGTGTGTGGGTAGAGGTGTGCGCAGTCAGTGATGTGTGTGAGGCTGGCAAGAGGTGGAACGCGGACATGGCAGTGAAGCAGACGAGGAGCGTGAAGAAAAACAGTAGGTCACTGAGAGGGGGGCTGAGGTGAGGGGGCAGCCAGGCAAGCGGTGAGCCGCGGATGGATGGTTACGGGGCAGTCCAGGAGCATGGAAAAGGAAGTAGATGGGTGGTCGTTGGTAGTGACGTGAAAGGCAGGGAAGAAGGGGGGGGTTGTACGGGAGCATCGGGACTTGAATTGCCACGAACTGAACTCTAAGTGGCAACACCTGCTCTGTTAGCTCTCCTCTCGTTTCTAGTAGTCTTGCACCGACCAGTGCTTGTTACTTTGTTACTCTGTTGCTGTGTTACACCCTTCTTCGTATTAGACCAATCGGGCCGGTGATTGACTGACCTGATCTCGTTTCTTCGTTTCTCGTTTCTCCACTTGCTGCTACTTTACAACCCCCACTTGCACTCTTTCGCATCTGAGCCCGAATAAGAGCGCAACTCGCTATTGTTCTTCTGTGCGTGCGTGAGCAGGTGGGGCTGGTGATTGACCTCACCAACACCACTCGATACTACAACCCCCAGGATTGGACGAAACACAAAGTGAAGTACCTCAAGGTGAGAATGGGACAGAGTGAGAATCGTGAAGACGAGGTGAAGAGAGCGAGTGAAGCAGGGCGGGAGGCAGGTGGGGGCATGCTGATTGATCTGATCTGATCTGATTCATGCATTGCTGTGCTGTCTACAGCCTCCTCGACTGGGGAAGACATAGCAGGTGAGGCAGTGAGGGAAGACACAGCAGGTGAGGCAGTGAGGGAAGACACAGCAGGTGAGGCAGTGAGGGAAGACACAGCAGGTGAGGCAGTGAGGGAAGACACAGCAGGTGAGGCAGTGAGGGAAGACACAGCAGGTGAGGCAGTGAGGGAAGACACAGCAGGTGAGGCAGTGAGGGAAGACACAGCAGGTGAGGCAGTGAGGGAAGACACAGCATGTGAGGCAGTGAGGGAAGACACAGCATGTGAGGCAGTGAGGGAAGACACAGCAGGTGAGGCAGTGAGGGAAGACACAGCAGGTGAGGCAGTGAGGGAAAACACAGCAGGTGAGGCAGTGAGGGAAAACACAGCAGGTGAGGCAGTGAGGTAAAACACAGCAGGTGAGGCAGTGAGGGAAGACACAGCAGGTGAGGCAGTGAGGGAAGACACAGCAGGTGAGGCAGTGAGGGAAAACACAGCAGGTGAGGCAGTGAGGGAAGACACAGCAGGTGAGGCAGTGAGGGAAGACACAGCAGGTGAGGCAGTGAGGGAAAACACAGCAGGTGAGGCAGTGAGGGAAAACACAGCAGGTGAGGCAGTGAGGTAAAACACAGCAGGTGAGGCAGTGAGGGAAGACACAGCAGGTGAGGCAGTGAGGGAAGACACAGCAGGTGAGGCAGTGAGGGAAAACACAGCAGGTGAGGCAGTGAGGGAAGACACAGCAGGTGAGGCAGTGAGGGAAACACAGCAGGTGAGGCAGTGAGGGAAAACACAGCAGGTGAGGCAGTGAGGGAAGACACAGCAGGTGAGGCAGTGAGGGAAGACACAGCAGGTGAGGCAGTGAGGGAAGACACAGCAGGTGAGGCAGTGAGGGAAGACACAGCAGGTGAGGCAGTGAGGGAAAACACAGCAGGTGAGGCAGTGAGGGAAAACACAGCAGGTGAGGCAGTGAGGGAAGACACAGCAGGTGAGGCAGTGAGGGAAGACACAGCAGGTGAGGCAGTGAGGGAAGATACAGCAGGTGAGGCAGTGAGGGAAGACACAGCAGGTGAGGCAGTGAGGGAAGACACAGCAGGTGAGGCAGTGAGGGAAGACACAGCAGGTGAGGCAGTGAGGGAAGACACAGCAGGTGAGGCAGTGAGGGAAAACACAGCAGGTGAGGCAGTGAGGGAAGACACAGCAGGTGAGGCAGTGAGGGAAAACACAGCAGGTGAGGCACTGAGGGAAGAAGACCCTTTAAGTCAAGCCAAGCCCACCTGTCCTGGCGCGCCCTTGCGATTGTCTCTCTCTGTCACCTCCCGCCCCGCCGCGCCAGAGAGAGACGATCCCGCCCCGCCGCGCTTCCTGCATTACCCACTCTGCGTGACACCTCGTGCCTTACCACTGAGGGTTTTCAATCACTTTCTATCTCTCCTCGCCTCCACCTTCCCCCCTCCTCCTTGCGCTTATCAACTCGCAGTCGTGGTGGCGAGGTGCCTCAAACTACACACTTTCGTTCCCCACCGCCCCCTCTCTTTTTCCCAAGCTCTCCCCTTGCGTCCATTCGCGCACCTGCAGGGGTTGCAACGAGGTTTCTTAAGGCGGGTACCACCCTCAGCTCATCTGGCCTTCATCCCCCCTCCTCACCTTCACCACTCACCTTCACCACTCTCTCTTTCCCTCACCCCTCTTCGTCCAGCTGGCCTGCAGGGGTCGCGACGAGGTGCCTGATGATGAGACTGTTAATCGCTTTGTGTATGCCGTAAGTCTTTCTATCTCTCGTGGCTCGGTTGTATGTAGCCATCTCCTTTGCGTGACACGCTTGTTGCAACGAAATTGGTGCCTCACGACGAAGCTATCATCCGCCCTTGCCTATGGCGTGAGTCCCTCTTTGTCTCTTGTGTGACTGGGTTGTAACTTGGTGCTGTTTCGCAAGACGTTTGTGCTGATGCTGGTGCTGATGCTGGCGCACCACAACCTCTCCCTTTCACGCACTGGACTGTATGCTCGTTGTGAGGTGACTTTTGAGTCGACTCAAAAGTCACAACCTCTCCCTTCCAGGCACTGGACTGTATGCTCGTGCTGCTGGTGATGCATTGCATACACCCACTCACTCCCCCTGTGCTGCCCCTCCCACCTCCATTCTCCCCTTCCCCGCTAAACAACCACCCTCCTTCCCGCCTGCCGGACTCTCCCTCTGCAGGACTTGGACGACATGCGCGCAAGTGACTGCTAGGAGGAGTGCATCCTGGTGCAATGCACGCACCCAACTGCTTCTCCCTTCTCTCTCTTCCCCCCCCGCTCCCTCTGCTGTGCAACCCCGCTTTCCTCCATTTCCCTCTGCTGCTGTTGAAACCACCTGCGCTGGACTACATGCACGCCACGGACCGCAAGAAGTGCATCCTGGTGCACTGCACACACTCACTCCCCCCCTCTTTCCCCAACCTCCCTCTACCTCTGCGCTCGCGCGCTTCTTTCTCCCCCACCCTGTCTCCCCCACCCTGTCCGCTCGTCCCCATCCTCGCCCCCCTTCCTTCCTGTATTGCACTCCCCAGGCGCTGGACTACATGCGCGCCACGGACCGCAAGAAGTGCATCCTGGTGCACTGCACGCACGGGCACAACCGCACGGGCTTCATGATCATCCACTTCCTCATGCGAGCGATGGGGGGGCGTGTGGCGGAGGTGAGGGGGCACGTGACAGAGGTGAGGGGGCACGTGACAGAGGTGAGGGGGCACGTGACAGAGGTGAGGTTCATACATGCCTTGATTGAGCAGTGCCATTGTCATTGCCACAGCCGCACGGGCTTCATGACCATCCACTTCCTCATGCGAGCGATGGGGGGGCATGTGGCGGAGGTAACAATCAATCTTGCATGCGTTTATGTCCCCTCATACTCATCTTTTATTACCTCAACTGCAAGATCATCCACTTCCGCATGCCCGCTCTGGCGGGGAGGAGGGGGGGGGGGGGGGGGTGGGGGGTAATGTGGCAGAAGTAAGGTTCATAGATGCAACTGGGTTCAAATCCATGCCATTTGCTCTTTGTGACACAAGCCTTGCTAAAACACACTGCTCCTTGCCTCACTGGACCTCTATCCCCATTCCACCAGCGAGCAAGGAGACAACCTGCGAGCAACCGTGCTTTCTGAATGTTTTCTGAGCGCCTGCAGCGTGGAGTACATCCAGGCGCTCTTCCCTTCGACCACAAGCCGTGCTTTCAGCAGCTTTTGAGTCGACTCAAGAGCCGTGCTTTCAACAGCTTTTGAGTCGACTCAAGAGCCGTGCTTTCAGCAGCTTTTGAGTCGACTCAAGAGCCGTGCTTTCAGCAGCCTCACAAACTCCTGTCTCTCTGCCTGTCCGTCCTTTTGTGTCAAACTGTGTCTCTCCCAGCCCACCAGCGACTGGCCGAGTTCGCAGAGGCCCTTCCCCCCGGCATGTACAAGGAGGGAGGAGTACATCCAGGCGCGCTTCTCCTTCTTCTACCAATGGCCTTACGCGCGGGCGGGCGCCTCCAACACCTCCTTGTATACCAATGGCTCAGTGCCAGCGCCTGTCCGTCTGTCCACCCCCTCCCCACCCCATCCCACTAGAGGCTACCCGAGTTCGCTGAGGCTTGTCCCCCCGGCATATACAAGGAGGACATCCAGGCGCTCTTCTCTTTCCACCACGAGCCGTGCTCAAACCCACTGCTTTGTCCACCCGTCCCTGTGTCCGCCCGTCCCTGTGTCCGCCCGTCCCTGTGTCCGCCCGTCCCTGTGTCCGCCCGTCCCTGTGTCCGCCCGTTCCTGTGTCCGCCCGTCCCTCTGTCCGCCCGTCCCTCTGTCCGCCCGTCCCTCTGTCCTCACCCCACCACCAGAGGCTGGCCGAATTTGCAGAGGCCCGGCCCCCCGGCATATACAAGGAGGATTACATCCAGGCGCTCTTCTCCTTCTACCACGAGCGGCGCCCCGAGCCCGTGACATGTCCACCCACCCCTGAGTGGAAGGCCACGTTCGACCTTGACTTAGACCTGAATGTGGCTCTGGAGATGGACGAGGAGGAGGCGGCGGGGGAGAGGGCAGGGGATGACGGCAACGAGGAGTGTGGCGCTGCTGTGCTGCCAGAGGCGGTGAGTCTGTCACTCCGTAAAGGCGCTGATGGCTTGTGGTTGCATGCTGCTGCTGTGTGGTGCACGTGCTGGTAAGTCGGCTACGCCCGAGTGGAAGGCGACGTTCGACCTGGACCTGGGCCTCAACATGGTGCTGGAGATGGACGAGGAGGAGCAGGGGCGGGGGCAGGCACAGGCGCAGGGGATGACTTTTGAGTCGACTCAACAGGCACAGGTGCAGGGGATGACGGCAACGAGGAGTGCGGCGCCGCTGTGCTGCCAGAGGCGGTGAGTCGATCGCTCTGTAACGTCGCTGGTGGCTTGCAGCTGTGGGATGCTGCTGTATGGCGCAATGCAAAAGCTGGTCACGTTTGACCTTGACTTGGATCCCTGCCTAAACGTGGTGATGTGCTGAACGTCGTTAGCCATGATAGCGATGAGCAGCAGGGCAAAACGAAACGTTTAGCAAAAAGATTGACAGCAAACACTCAGGTTGCCCGTGTGAGTAGCCAAAGGTCTCAGAGAACTGAACTCAGCGCCGATTCAAAAGATTAAAGCAAACATGTTTCGTCGTCCAAGGTAAAGACCCTAGAACATCTTCAGCAGTGCAGAATGAAGCTATGCAAGCGAGTAAGAGAAGCTCTTAAGCAAGAGACACCTCGACATTACCCAAAATCTAGGCATGTAACAACCAAGGCTGAAATCTGGGCAGCCAATCCTGAACACCCTGGAAAATTCCTGGGGCCAAGTCTTCAAACCTCGAGGCTTTGTCGTGTAAATGTCACAATTCGCCAGCTAGTAGCTTCGGGAGCCTCGCGCGCACAAGTAACTGTTGAATGTTACGCCCAGCCTTCCATGCAACAAAAATCCACTCTGTATAGAAACCGCATGATAGGAGTCTAGTTTTGAGGCGCCTCAAAACTGGTGATGTGCTGAACCTATTCAATCAGCACGAACCTATTCAATCAGCACCCACCTATTCAATCCATTCTCCTTCTCCTGCTATGGCCCACACGTGCAGGAGCCCAGCAGGGAGGAGGAGCGCAAGAAGAAGATGACGGTAGACGATGCGTTGGGGTCAGATGGTTGACTCGATGCCTTTGTCAGCATGCACTGATGAGCGCGCCGTTTCCTTGTGTTGTACCGCTGCTTGTGTGCCTACAGAAGCCCAGCATAGAGGAGGAGGGCAAGGAGAAGAAGACGCCCTTTGCTGATGCTCTGGAGCCAGCTGGTTGAAGCGCTACCATGCGTGCTTGCATGCAACCGATTCGCGTGCTCTCTCCTTGTACTGATTCGATTCGACGCATGTGTGCCCGCGCGCGCCACAAAAGGCCAGCCAGGAGGAGGGGGGCAAGAAGAAGGCGACGCCCTTCAACGATGTGCTGCTGGGGGGTCAGCTGGCAGACCGTGGATGTGATACCGTTGTCAGCATACGCCAATCAATGTGCTCTCTCCCCGTGCTCTTTCCTCGTGCTCTCTCCTCGTGCTGCTTCTTGCAGGAGCCGAGCAAGGAGGAGGGGAAGAGGAAGATGACCATCGACGACGTGCTGGGGTCAGCTGGTTGACACACTCCCACGTGTGCTTGCATTGTGTGCTACCAACCGATTCATACAACCAACCCACAGGAGCCCAGCAAGGAGGAGGGGAAGAAGAGGATGACCATCGACGACATGCTGGGGTCAGCAGGTGGATGTGATTCCATTTTCCATGCACACCAATGAATGCTCGTGTGCTGGCAGGAGCCCAGCAAGGAGGAAGGGAAGAAGAAGATGACGATAGACGACGTGCTGGGGTCAGCCATTCCCGAGGAGCAGCAGATGGAGCTGCAGCACCTCGTATGCACCGGGCTCAAATCGGTGGGTGCAGAGCGGTGACAAGGGGTTGAGATTGGTGGAAATGGGGAGTGGAGATCTATGTTGGAAAATACGCGTATTGCGTTTTGTACGCCGTCTAAGATACGTAGGCGTATATACGCAATACTCTTGGGCCTGGGGGTCCAAAACGCAGGGAATACGCTTGTCCGGGCAGGGTAAAGTTTCTGCCCGGGCAGCCGTAAAAAACCGGGGGCAGGGAGGGGGGGGAGGGAGGCAGGAAGGGGGGGGGGGGGGAGAGGACAGCTGTTTTTTTCCTCCTTTTTTCCATTCCAAAAAATTAACAATGGCAAATGTCTTAAGGTGTTTATCAGTCAGCAGATTACCCCCCTCCCACAAGCATCATAACCTCACCCTCCCTCCATAAGTCTCGACACCACCCCCCCCCCCCCCCCACAGCCCAAGGCTAGCACGGGCACTGGTCTACTCGTACTCATCCTCCAGGACCAGGTCCCCCCCTCCTCCTCCTCCTCCATGTCGACATCCATGTTGTACAGGGGCCTCGGGGATGGTTCCGGTGGAAAACGTGCTACGAAATGGGCGGGAAAATGCGAGTTCGCGAGGAAAAAAAAAACCCCCCCTTTTTTTCCGGGCAGCCCGGCTTTGGGTATCGCAGATTTCCAGCGTATTGGCGTATTTCGGATATATGCCAGCGTATATCCGCAAAACGCAAGGCCTACAATGCGGATTTTCCAACATAGGTGGAGATATTGGGAGGAGCAGCAGATGGAGCTGCAGCAGCTCGTGTGCACTGGGCTGAAGCTTGTGGGTGCAGAGCAGAGCGGTGACAAGGGGCTGAGTTGGGTAGGATGAGGCGCAGGGAGATTGAATGGAGTGCATAGGGGGTAAGAAAACGGAGTGGGGATAGCGGAGGAGCAGCGGATGGAGCTGCAGCAGCTCGTGTGCACTGCGGTAAATTCGGCAGGTGCAGAGTGGTTACGAGGGGTGACAATTAGACATGGGCATGAGCCGAGCCTGGCTCGGCTTGGCTCGTCCAGGGGTCGAGCCAAGCCGGCTCGCCATCGAGCCTGGCTCGGCTCGCATTTCTGTGGGCGAGCCAGGGCTGGCTCGACGGCGAGCCGGCTCGGCTCAGCTCGCCTAGCACGCGCTTAAGCCAACAGTAGTGCGCGCTGGAGCCTATGCAAGCGCGCGTTGTTAAGAGTGGCGGGGGCTGCTTAAGATTTCTCGCGCGAACTAACCTAGTGAGATACTCCTAGGCGCGCAGAATTCAAGGGTTCGCGGAAGTAGATTGTGAGGAGGAAGAAGGGTGTTAGGTTAGGTTGGAAGTTGTAGATGCAATAGTGTGCAGTGCGGTTGAGTGGGGCAAAAGGGTTGGATGGGTTTTGCGGCTGGTTGAATTCGCCAGGTCGCAATGTCGCGGGAAAGAATTCCGCGGCAAACATTTTGGGCGGGCGTTTAGCGTTTAAACGCTAAACGCTGCACCGCCAGAGCGTTTGCGGGAACATAGACTAGGAGTTGTTGGCGGGAGAGAGAAATGGGAGACACGTTTTGTCGAGGGGGAAATTTTACCCTTGAAATCCAGTGGTGAGCCACCTGGCTCGAAATCGAGCCGGGGACGAGCCGGCTCGACCCCGGCTCGACGAGGACATCGTGTACGAGCCGAGTCGATCTGGCTGGCTCGACCGAGCCGAGCCGGCTCGGCTCGAGTCGAGCCGGATCCCAAAAAGAAAGGCTCGGCTGGCCATTTTTGGCGAGCCAAGCTGAGCCGAGCCGGATGTGGCTCGGCTTGTGCCCATGTCTAGTGACAATGGGTTGAGATTGGTGAGATGGGGTGCGTGCGCATGGGTGAATGGAGTGGGTAGGGGGGTTTCGGAAGGGGAGACACCTCACCTCTCAGCAGATGGACCTGCAGGCTGCAGCAGCTCGTGTGCAGTGGGAGTCGGTGGCTGCAGAGAGAGGGGTTGAAAGGGGTTGAGATGGGTGAATGTGGGTGGATGTGGAGTGGGCAGCTTACAGGAATGAAATCAGGAGCAGTAGATTTTTTAGTGCACTCGTAAGCGGGAGAGAGGGATCCGATGGGAGCCTTGTTAAGCCTGCTGTAGAGAGGCAGTGGGTGAGGCGTCTTGGCCTCACTGCTTCAGCAGTCTAGTACAAGTGGAATGCTGAAGGTTAGTGTGATCCCCTTGGCAAAGGTTGACTTTTGAGTACGTTCAAAAGTCTCTGAGCGTTAATGCGACCGCTGTGGCAAAGGTATGATGGCAATGGTTGGAGCAAATCTCTGACTCAGAGTTTACTGAAGTATGCTGCAAGTGGGGTGGTGGCGGCGGTGCGGTGATACTGGGTTGGATGCGGTGACGGCCAGGGTTGTGTGGGTAAACTCAACTCACCTGAGGGCTGCAGCTCTCTGTCTCCGCGTCTTGGGACTGTTTCTCAAGTCAGTTCCCGCTAGACATGGGCACAAGCCGAGCCTCCTTTTTTGGTACCCGGCTCGACTCGAGCCGAGCCGGCTCGGCTCGCGCACGTGAGATCAGGCGAGCCGGAGTCGAGCCGGCTCGAGCTGGCTCGATTTCGAGCCAGCCGGCTCGCAGCTCGGGATTGTCAAATCTCAGATGGACAAACCTTCCGCGCCCATTTCGTATTTTGAGTCGACTCAAAATACAACGGGATTGTCAAATCTCAGATGGACAAACCTCCCGCGCCCATTTCGTCTGCCAACCCTAACCTCACCCTGCTGCCCTCGTCTATCGCCCTCAGCCAGCCCTATTTAAACCTGTAGCACCTCCTGAGAATTTTGTAAGATGTAGAAGCAGACGATCAGCTCAACAATCTGGACCACGCCCCGGACTAGAGACCCCAAACCCCATGGCCCCAATTGAGAGCCCGCACAAGCCCCCCTGATGAGCCGAGCCAAGCCGGCTCGACCCCATGTTCACGAGCCGATCGAGGATCCTGAGGACCGGCGAGCCGAGCCGGGGAGCCGAGGCGAGCTGAGCCGGCTCGACCGGCGAGCCGGCTTGGCTCGACCCCAAACGAGCCGAGCCGAGCCAGGCTCGGCTCATGCCCATGTCTAGTTCCCGCCCTTACGAGCCTGTCTCTTCTTTGCAAATTCATCTACAAGCTTTTGTTCCCACATCTCTTCTTCCCTCCTCTGTCGCCCTCCTTTGATTCCTCCAATCCTCCTCTCCTCTCTTCTACCTTACTCTCTCACCCCCTCCCCCATTCCTCCCCCCACCCCCCCAGCCTAACTTCCGTCACTTCCCGGGTTCTCAACCAGTCTCTTTGGACCTGTATGCGCCCTGCCTCTCCTTCTTGCCTTGAAAAACCACCGTAACTCCGAGTGAATATTTACCTCCCCTCGTGCGTCTCTGCTACTGTGTTGCAGAAAGAGCCGTAGAGTTATTCTTTACTTTGTGAAATTTCTGCATGTTTTGTGGCAACAATAACCTACATATTTTCTCTGTTCTGTGCATGTGCTGTCGCAGCAAGAACCTGCAGCTGCTGCGGCAACGGCTCTACTACGTGACTTGGAAAGCCGACGGCACACGATACATGATGCTCATCTGCCCCGACGGCTGCTACCTTATCGACCGGTACTCGCGTCAGCTTTCGTCTGCTCATGCTTAGCATAGCACTAGCAGTCCTCCCTGACCAAACCCTCTGCCTGCCCTTGTGTGTTCTCTGATAATTTGATTTCTGCCCCTCTGTGGTCTCTCTCACTCTCCGCGCTTGTCCCCCGCCTCGCCTCCTGCCGCAGTGTCAAGCTTTTAAGAAATCTTTGAACCTCCGGCCTCGTCTCTTTTCTTCCCATCTACCTCTCCTTCCTTTCTACCTCTTCTTCCCATGAGTTGCACGTTGCACAAATTGCAGTGTGCTTTGGTTTGAGGTGTCGTGTCGATGACATCCTGTCACTGTCCACCTCATTTCTACCACTCTTGGGAAATTTGGTTTCAGTGTGCTGTCCTGCACACGAGTCTGTGCTGAAGGGTGGGACGTGCACCAGAAATTTATCCTTCCCCTCTCTTCCCCCCCCGTTTTCCCCCTCCTCTGTTCCTTCCCCCCATCACCGCCCCTCTTACCAACGCTTTAGGAACTTCCGGTTCAGGCGGGGGCAGATGCGCTTTCCCGTACGCAAGTACCCTGATGCAGCACAAGCCGGTGGGGGAGTGGGGCGTGCCCCGATGCATTATGTTACTCCCCTTCTCCCATCCCGCCTCCCTCCCTCCTTGCGTACAAGCCTGTGGAGGTATGGGACATGCTCTCATGTGTTATGCCACGCGCACCCTCCCCCTTACACCTCAGGAACTTCCGGTTGAGGCATGTGCAGATGCTGTTCCCGATGCGCAATACCTGCAGCACAAGTCCGCAGACGACTGGGACGTGCACCGCAGCCAACACATACTCACTGCCCCTCTCTCCCTCCGGCCTCCTCTCCCTTTTTCCTAACCCTCAGAAACTTTCGGTTCCGGCGCGTGCAGATGCGCTTTTCCTTGCGCAAGATCCTGCAGCACCAAGCCCATTGACAACTGGGACGTGTACTCATATGTTATGCCATGCGCACCCCCACATTAGCCCCCCTCCCCCTCCTCCGCCTCCCCCTTACACCTCAGAAACTTCCGGTTCCGGCGCGTGCAGATGCGCTTCCCCATGCGCAAGTACCTGCAGCACAAGCCCGCGGACGACTGGGACGTGCACCGCACCACGCTGCTGGACGGCGAGATGGTGGTGGACACTGTGCCGGGCAGCGGCGTGCAGGAGAGGCGTTACCTCATCTATGACCTCATGATGCTCGACGCTGTTCCCCTGGGGGATGTGAGTGGTGTGTGTCTGGGGAAAGTGTATGTGTGAATAGGGGAGTTTGGCCATGCATGCTGCTGGACGGCGAGATGGTGGTGGGCACCGTGCCAGGATAGAAGAGAGGCACTGTCTCATCTACGACCTCATGATGCTCGGGGCTGTTCCGCTGGGGGATGTGAGTATGACTGGTGCGTATGAGGGAGTCTAGCCATGCGCGCTGCTGGGCGGCGAGATGGTGGTGGGCACCATGCCGGGATAAAAGGAGCTAGTTCTTTTACGGCCGCACGATGCTGAACAGTGATCCGCTGGGGGATGTGATGTGAATATTGCGGACAAGTGGCTTCTGTTGAGGAGGATCTTTCTTGGTTGTTGGTCCTTTGCGGGTCCTCAAATCATGTCAAACAAGGTACGACTTGGATCGTTCCTTCTCAAAAACTGCTGTCCCTGTCCGGTCTTCCCCCCACTATACTCCACTTCTGGCTCCCTGTACTGAACCTCCCTGGCTTTTGCCAGAAGCCAGTTGCCTAGGTTTTACCAGAAGCTCTTGGCAGAGAGGTCTGAGCGCACAGAGTGTTTGTAGCAGAGAAAGGGAGGTGGTGGGCCAACAGCAAGACAAGATACATGCGGCCTTTCTTACCATGTCTCGCGTTTTCCTTGCTCCCCGCCTCCCCCGCCTTCCCCACTCACAGAAACCTTTTGCAGAGAGGTTTGAGAAGATAGGGTGGAAGGTGGTGGTTTTTGAGTCGACTCAAAAGCAAACCTTTTGCAGAGCGGTTTGAGCAGATAGAGCGGGAGGTGGTGGTGGCCCCTCGACGGATCGATGCCTTCTGACACCGCCTCTCCTTTCTCCCTGTTTCTCGCTGATGTCTTGCACCCCTCTCGCCTCCCCTGCAGAAACAGATCTTCGGACATAATTCCAGTGAGCGCAGTGATCACCTCTCCCCTAGCGAGCCTTCATCAGTGCCTGTTTCTCGCTGATGTCTTGCGCCCCTTCTCTCCTCCCCTGCAGAAACCATTCGCAGAGCGGTTTGAGCAGATCGAGCGGGAGGTGGTGGCCCCGCGGCGGATAGACGCCACGATGAACGACTTGTACGATTACAGCCAGGAGGATTTCAAGGTGAATGCAGCTTGGAATAGATCAATGTGACCGTGGATGCTGTTTATGGCTCCATGTGCCTTGTACCACGTGCCATGTGCCGTGTTCCATGCACTATGTGCTATGTTCCATGTGCCATGTTACATATGCCCATGCACCATGCACCATGCACCATGCTCCATGCACCATGCACCATGCCCCATGCATGCCCCATGCTCCATGCCCCATCCCCATCCCCATCCCCATCCCCATCCCCATCTCCATCCCCATGCCCATACCCCACCTATGCCGATGCCCACCAGGTGCGGCGCAAGGACTTCTACATGCTGAGTGCGGTGGGGAAGCTTCTGCACAACTTCATCCCCAAGCTCAGCCACGAGTCCGACGGGCTCATTCTGCAGGTCGTGCTCTTTCTTGGCGTCGCGCACTCTGACCCCCGACCCCTGACCCCTTGCCCCCGACCCCTGACCCCTTGCCCCTGACCCCTGACCCCTGACCCCTGACCCCTGACCCCCGACCCCTGACCCCTGACCCCTGACCCCTGACCCCTGACCCCTGACCCCTGACCCCCGACCCCTGATCCCTGACCCCCGACCCCCGACCCCTGACCCCTGACCCCTGACCCCTCACCCCTGAACCTCCATCCCGCTCTCACCTGACTGCTGAGCCTCCATGCCTCTGGCAGGTTCCGTTGGTGCGTTCCATGTTCGCGGCGTCCTCCTGTCCCCTCATCTCCTCTCACCCCTTTCCCTCTGCCCCTTTGGCTTCGTGCTTCCCGTTAACAGGGGTGGAACGACGCCTATGTGCCGCGCACGCACGAGGGCCTGCTCAAGTGGAAATACGCCCACATGAACTCCGTTGACTTCTGCCTCAAGGTGCGTTGACTCCTGTTGACTTCTGCCTCAAGGTGTGTTGACTCCCGTTGACTTCCATTCCCCCCAGAGGGCGTGTTTCCCTTGCTCCCAGCCAATTTGCGTGTCCCCTCTGTCGTTTGTTTCACTTCCCCGTGTTTCTCTGAGTGCAACCTTTGCCCTCGTCAGGTGATTTTTGAGTCGACTAAAAAATCACCTTCGCCCTCGTCACCTCCTTGTATCAACCCGTCCCAGTTGAAGTCAGCACCGGGCAAGCAGTTGGCATAGGCCTCTAGCATCCTCAATTCCTCTGCCCTCCCTTCCCCCGCTTGCCCCCTCACTTGCCTCCAGAAATCACCAGAGGGCAAGTGGGTGCTGCTGCTGTCGGACAGGAAGACGCTGCGGGCGCTGCCCGCAGCCAAGATCACCTTTCCTGGTGGGTGGAGTGTCTCGGTGGAAAAGGTTGATGAAAGCTCTCCAAGCCACACTCACCGCCAATCTTGAGCACGCTGAGACCACTAGCTATACCTTTTCCTGGTGGGTGAGCTGGGGAGGTTGCTATGCCGATGCTCCCAGGGGGCTGAGGTTGAGTGTGATGCTGCTGCTGCTGTTGCTGCAGTGAGCGTGATACAAGTGCCACTGGTAGCGTCCATCTCCCCCTCGCCTCCTCCCCTGGCCGTCACAGGCATGAGTAAGGAAGAGTGGCAGGAGCTGGAGGGCCACATGGTGGGGTGCTGCTGGTGAAGGAGGATGGGATGGTCTGGGTTCAACCGTCACCAAACCTGTCGGAGTTTCTTCACGTCCCCGTACCCCTGGGCAAGCATGAGTGAGGAGGAGGAGATCAAGCTGGAGGGGAAGATGGTGGAGTGCTGTTGCTGGAAGAAGGACGAGATGGTCTGGGTTCAACTGCCACCAAACCCCGTCACCTTCCCTTCCTCCCCCTCCCACCCCCTCCCCCCCCTCCCCCACCTTCTCCCCCCAGGCATGAGTGAGGAGGAGGAGAGCGAGCTGGAGGGGAAGATGGTGGAGTGCTGCTGGAAGAAGGAGGAGGGTGTGTGGGAGTTCATGCGCGTGCGCACCGACAAGGAGCACCCCAATGCCTGGCACACGTACCTCAAGGTAGCTTGTCTGGCATTCGTACCTAGACGTAAATGTAAGGTGCATTGAAGGGGGAGGGTGTGTGGGAGTTCATGCGCGTGCGTACCGACAAGGAGCACCCCAACGCCTGGCACACGTACCTCAAGGTATGTTTTGGGCGTGTCAAAAAGCAGGTGCGAACAAATAAGGGGCATCCCAAGCCAATGCGTCGCACATGTACCTCAGAGTGTGTGTTGTGGCGTCCCAAAACATGCGGGCACTTCTGTTGGGATGCATGCATGTGTGAAGCTGTACGTGTATGCATGAATGCATGCGCTCACATCTGCAGGGGGTTGTGGGGGGGGAGAAAGTGGGTGGCCATATGTGGCCTTCACTGGCAGGTGATGGACAGCATCCGCGACAGCATCACTGAGGAGGTGCTTCTACAGGAGGTGCAGGGCATGTGAAGGGGGGCGTGTGTTTTACTGAAATCCCTTGTGTGGGTTTGTGGGTGCCAAGTGCAGGTGATGGACAGCATCTGCGGCAACATTACAGACGAGGTGCCATTAAAGAAGGTGCAGAATATGTAAGGGGTATGTGGAGGCATGTTTGCATATTCTCATACCCAAAGGAGATAGTCTGTATGCGGCCCTTATTTGCAGGTGATGGACAGCATCCGCGACAACATCACAGAGGAGGTGCTGCTAAAGGAGGTGCAGAACATCCGGAGCCTTCCCGTGTACGAGGAGCATGAGAAGAGCGAGATCAGGCGCATGCAGCAGCAGCGCCGGCAGCAGCATCCGCCCCCACACCACCATCAGCAGCAGCAGCGGCATCACCACCCGCAACACCATCCACATCATCTCATCAGCAGCAACCGCATCAGGAGCAAGAGAGAAGAGATTAGCCGCAGCCACGCACCCCTGCCAATTCATGAGGACGCTGGATTAACTGGCGTTGCTGTAGGTATATCAATATCCTTCTGCTGTCTCATCTTTTTCCATGCCCACTTCTCCACCTCCTGCTGGCTCTTCTATTTGCCTTGTTTACTGGAAAGTAAAGAATGTTCAAAACATAGGAATCGTGTGAAAAGACTGGAAATGCACTATTGGAGGATGCAAACATCTATATCTTGAGAAGGTCTTGTCCACAAAAAAATTCCATCGTCATTAGGTAGCATCATCAACCGAAGACTGTAACGAATTGTCAGAATGACAGCAGCTGAAGCACAACAGCCAATGTGGCACAGTAGGCACCACTAGTTCTTCAGCACCGTATACGCTCGCGAAATCTGTTACTGACGAAACTCTGCGAGCCGGACCTCAGTTAGGTCCCTGCCTGGTGGTAAACGACGCAGAGCTGCGAGTGGCGACGTCATTGTGGGTTACAGACGATTCGCAAAATCACGTTTGTTTTCGGTGAAATCGAGAATTATTGCTGGCAGTGACCAAGCCAAGCCAGAAGTAGTGACCTAGGGATTCTCCCACTTCAACGGTGACTGATTTATCCACTTGTTAGCGTCGTTCCTGAACTCCTCCACACCACACTTCTTGCTGCCGTCTCGCCATGGCTTCTCGCCTCCACTCCGTCGCAGCGCACGGCATCGCCACCCATCGTGCAACGCGGTTACCGCTTCGCCTGGCAAATCGACTGTTACCGCCGGCAGCAGGTGCAACACTACCAGCTGCTCCAATGCCGTCCACTCGTGTCGCCTCGCCGCGTATCCCGCCGCCAATCCCGCCGTAAATCTCGCCGGGACCGCCGCGGGATGTTCTCGCCAGCCACAAGCTCATGCGCTCGCCAGCTGCTCCGCATTTAGCGGGGCCTCCGCGTGGCGGCAGCGCGCCGCTGCGCAGACTGCGGGGAATGCAGGAAACTCGGCGCGCGAGGCTCGGCCAGGGATGGTATTCGTTGTCCGTAGCGCCCTGGTGCGTACTTAGCCGATTCGTGGTCCATCCGTGGCGCAATGAAGCTGAGCGATAAGGACGATAGTGTAAGCCGTGGAGTACCTGCTAGATTACATTCTGTCTGACAGGGGGGAGGAAAAAGGAAAGAAAAATGGAACTTTCGACTGACATTAAATTCTGGAGCTACAGTCTTCAACTGAGGGTCTCTTGACCGTGCGCAGCAGTATCATTAGTTCGCAGCCTTCTCCGCAGCACGTCACGTTGAGACGGAGGGCCTCTCAGTGGAGTGGTGGGTGGGATGAAAGGGTGGCATTATCTTGAGCTGGAGGGTTTAGCACGAGACGACAGCCTAGGCATACTGACCAGGGGGACCATGGGGCCTAGGGGTTTAAGCTCGTGACTGCCCTTTGCCGAGCTCCTTCACCCTTCCCTCCATTCTTCCCTACAATTCTTC